GGAAGCTTATTTCGTGTGATCTAAGAATATTCAATTCATGCTCTAGAAGTAGGTTGTTGTGTGGGTTAAGCGTTTTTTGTCGGATTGTCATCAATGCAAGTAAACATCGACAGTCATTATTAATTAGAGGTTTTGCGAATATCTCAGAATGAACAAAAAATATAGGATACACGTAGTTCCAGCTGGATGGTCACTAAAAGAATGAAACGGCTAGGTTATTCTACTCAGATAGACGATTTTCCTTATTGACGTGCATGTACTAGACAGCCATTGGAATTCATATTGCAATAAGCATTCTTTGCATCACAATTCCTTTTACTCATTTACACATATCAGTGAGGTAAGAAAGTATGGTGCATTAAATTTATTAATATGTGAGACCACGTCCCTTGTTCTTCCACATAGTTCAATGCAATAAATTATCGGTTGAAAACAGTTTTAAACCAGGAGCATGGGTTCCATGCTAATTGGCATACGTCAACTGGTGGTATGCGAAACTTTGAAGTATGTTTTACTGTCTTTGATGTTAGAGCACATAACACTCACGTTTGTCGGCCAACTTATCATAATCGAGGATATCAAATACCAACCTTCGCTGAACCTCCATGGAGAACATTTTCTGAATAATTTCCGTGTTATCTTCGGAAAAGATAGTAAGAGACTCAGAACAGCATGGTGAAACATAATCAGAGTGACAAAGGTGAAATCACACTTCATCGAACTTAGATTTCACTTTTCTCAATTCCTCACACATTGTTTTATTATCCTACGTACATTGTCTTTTCAAATCGAATTAAAGGATGCCTTATATTTCCGATTTTCATGAATACTATCACTGACAATTTAAAATTGTTGTGTCAGTGATGTATGATAACTTGGTTTGAAATACGCATGTGCTTTGTCCTATGTTACTTGCGACTAACTGACTGATTAAACTCATATGTTAGCTTGTACGCTTACTTCACCTGACAGATGATTATGTCTTCGAATGAATTTTGTCGAGAAATGAAATGGTCTAATTGAAACTTCAATGGACACATCACTTAAATATTACTTGAAACGCTTTGATTACGAATGAGCTGGTTAGTTCTCGAAATTTCTACGACTTGACACATCAAGTTTAGTATGATATATTAGGCGGAGTTTACTCACATAAAAACTGCTCCACTTATATATGGAAAAAGTGATATTTTACTGTGGTGTAGTGTGTTAAATTAGAATTAGGTATTCGTAAGAACTTAGATCGACTGTCATGTCTATTGGATGAAAACTGAAAATGCAGGAGAATATTTATCATGAAACAAACGTAACAAAGAATGTTCTAATCTATAGATTCTGTATTACATGATGATTGGTTAGTGCTGATTAGTAAATCTGTTGGACGGCGAACATGTTTCAATCAAAAATGTAATCGGCAATCAATCGAACTAAATTTCCTTCAGGATTTCAACTGTTAAGTACTTTCAATTTCAACGGTGCGATATATTCGAAAGTAAGGATCATATTATTTAGCTTGCCGACTGTCGTAAATGTGGAAAATCAGTTAATTGCGTTGATTTGTAGGCTCTGCTTTGTTCAAAATTTTCTAGCGCATGAATAAAAGAAAAGTGATCAAGCTGGAAACTCACAAGTTAATAAGTTACATTAACTTATTACAGATGAATAAAGACGTTTGATTGATGAAAGTATTCTTTCCACGACGTACCTAAATCACTTACCTGCACGCAACGTTCTTTTAAGCGTAATTGCCATATTTTTAAAACTTGTTGCTTTGCATAATGCCTACTTTCTCCTTCAAATACGCAAGGAACCGTGGATTTAATTCTATATTAAACATTGGGATAGCATGGTGAATTTAGTTGTGATCATATTCAGTCTGGATTCGGTCACCACTAAACACAGGCTTGTATACGTTATCAGTCCACTTGATTTAGAAAAATATAAGGAAATCTGAATGCGTGCATGGATTATACATGCCTTAACAGAAAAAATATGGAAGACAGATATGTGGTATCAAGCACACACTAAATAAACTACCAGATGAAACATACCATCAACTTGCCAAAGATTGACCATGTCCGTTAGGATCAACACATTTCTAGTCCCCAAAGACACATTGTATACGATAGTAATCACTCGGTTCGGTTTGTCCGAACTACTGCTTTGGCTTTAATGACCAATGTAGGCAACACAATCATTCCAGCCAAGCAGTGATCAAGACGTCATAGTTTTTCAGGTGTATGTGCCGATATCATTGAAGTAACATTAGCTGGCCAGACAGCCGGAGAACACCTTAATCAAGTAAGAAAGTTATTAAGAAAACTTCAGGGACATGCTTTCGCTCTTGATGCTGACGAGTGCGAAATTCGGATTCCTGGATCATATGATAAATTCCCATTGAATCTCTATAGTTTCTTGAAAAGTTGATAATGCCCTTGATTTTACGTTTTACAACTGACAAAACAATGACGACGATTCCAGCATCGATTAAAATATAATCCACTATGGACTTCAAACTATGCCGATATATATCCACCAATGACCGTCGCGTTCCGATAATTTACCTCGTCATTCCATCTACAATCAAGGTTATGCAAGGATTCAGAATTCTGCAAATTAGAATGAGATACGACCCACCACTTTTGTGGATCCGGATCTCAATCTTTATTGAACATGCTTTGAAATGAATCAAATTTCCGATTGTCATATACGTACGCAAAACCACATCTTTGCGATTTTGTCAATATGTAGGTGAATATCGCTTAAGTTGTATGAGCTGATTTCATGCAGTCTTGCACGCAGACAAATATGAGGATGAAAAACATCAAAGCAAAACAATGCAATGTTAGGAAGCCGAGTGGTCCAGCTGAACGACATGCAGTATGACAACGAATCGGTAACCAGAGAAAAATAAGCAAAGCAAGTAATGCAACCACACTCCTTTTAAAACAACCAAAATAATGAGTAATTTGGCAAGAATGTCATAAGAGGTGTGAGAGATAACGCCTACAGCTAGACTTAGATAAACTTCACAAAAGATATCACATCGATTGTGTTCACAATTCGAACGCTCTTACTGCAGGAATCTCAGTTGTGTTCTAGACAAACATTGTTGTTTCAAGAGATCACTGTCTGAGTCAATTCTCCAGCCATAAAATCAATCAAAATTTTAAGCCAGACCATTTCGTCACGATCTAGGAGCGATACGTCCTTAAACAAATGCAGTCTTACTCATGACTGAGCCTTCATTTCCTATCAGACACTGTACGTCGTTGATGAAAATCATACTGGAGACTCCGATAAGGAGCGTAATGCTATTACTCGCTCCTTCACACGGACGTCATTGTCCTGATACAGATAATTTGTGTTAACTGGATCTCAATACAACACAAGCATTTGTTGCGTTGATCCAAGCATGCGAACATAAGTTATCTGCTGAGGTTAAAGTCAATAAAGTAGGTGGTATGATGGGAACTGTTCGCGCTTGTACTGTCTAAATTCTTCGAAATAAGTCTAATTCGTTATTAACAGCATCAATTATTGCTGTTATCTACGCAAAATTTTGTGTTGTAGTCAATGGAATATAAAATAGACGAACTAGTTTTTAACAGCAAGTAGCTTATTATATTAACAGAAAATTTACTGTCACAATGTACAATCAAATTAAACAGTACTTAATATTAAGCGATTTCGTAGTTTACATTCTTCTCTTTTTGCAACAATACCAGTGATAAAACATAAACTATTGTCAATTATAATATAATTATTCATCACCAAACTAAAGGTTATCAAATTCACTCCAAATCGAATTGTATTTCACAGACGCACTTATGATTAGAACGTTTGAATTAGTCAACCATATATGCTCTGGACGGACATCTCATCCAAGTATGGAAATCATCATCAATGCGCATACACGATTCTGTACAAAGGAACCCAACCAAATATCTTCGGTGTATTAAGTGAATCCCATTATCCTGACCACTGAGTTACGAATATAAAACTGTTCAGTCTATTGACAAACGTTCGTTCAAATTTGACTTTGTTTTTGAGCGAAAATACAATAGAGTCATTGGATTAGTATACTAAAATGAATGGGATTTATTTAACATAGATATCATTCACTATTGAAATCACACATAGGTAGTTTGAAATCAAAACTACAGATAGTCACTCACTTATGCAACATATTACATTTTCCGCCGCACTCATTGAATTCTTTCTGAACGGCAACATCATGTCGATTTGCATAAGCTGATCATATACCATCCAAAACTGATTGAATCTTAGTCAAAATATTGAACACCGCATTGTCTAAAGCACTTCATGAGTACAAAATCCAGTTAGCTAATAGTGGTGACATGTCCTTATAAATTTCTTCTTTTTCAAATGACGAAAAGTAGCTAATTATTTTTTTCTCTTTTGATTAGTTGTAATTTTTGAATTATTATAATCTTTTCATGATGTTTTTTGATAAAGTAATCAACAAAATTCAATCATTACATAGCATAAATAGTCGATTATGCTTATCTAAATTCTTTAACATGAATTCAACTTCATTAGATCATTGATACCTGTTTCATATTTGTCATCAAAATGAGTAAGGTAGTTGTTTGCAGAAGAAAATTGTACATTACTAATACTCACAATTAAAAAAGGGAAAATGACACTATAGAATGGTAGTTCAAAGCGAATTCGTCAGAAAAAGAATCACAAATGATATACCTGAGAATTTGTTACATTACTCTTAACCGGCTCTGTCAAACATGTACTAAAATGTTGACATCCATTCATCGGGCTCTGTAGTTCATTAAATCTTCCTAAATACTACATGGATAGGTGATATCTTGTGTTTCTTCTTACCTAATGTAAATGTTTTCGATGAATATTAGACATAAGTCTTGTTTATCCAAGAAGTCAATTTAATTAGACTAGAAAAAAAATGTTTAGTAAATGTTCATATCTCTGACCATCCTCTTAAAAAACGTGAAAGTAATAATCTATAACACATCTTTAATCATTGTAATCAGTATATAGTTAAAGTGTTTGAAATATTGTAAAATAATTGATAAGTAAATTTTATTGTTTGCTAAATTCAATTTACTTGTTGATAGTTCATTGATAACATTTTCATCTTAAAAAATATTTGCCAAATTTATAAACCCACCAGTTAGGTAATTATTTGATCCATTTCTAGTTGTATTTAACTGATGACGGACCATAAAGTCACGTGAATTGCTGTTCAAATTAGTTAAAGTAATTTCAATTGCATGATAATCCGTTTGAAGATAGTTCATATTTAAGAAGTAAATTGCCAGTAACGCGAAAAAATTTAACAATAAATGTGTATGATGTTTTCCAGTGCCATCTGAGTAACAGTTTCGTCCCGGTGAACAGCAAGTTTGACGGCATGTTTTTGTGGACCGATTCAATCTTTATGGTCTGAATATATGACCATCTTCAGTGAAAATGATGTTTGATGTTCAACTTGTATCTAATGTGTTTCACTAATTTCAAGCACATCTAATTTGTATCTTTTCATTACTGTAGTAACGTCAATCACTTTACCGGTTTCGCGCACTGTATGAACATTCCATGTACCTGAATTATCAACTGAAGAAATTGGAGAATGCAACGAATAATCTACATCGATTGTATTGCAATATGTGATTTCACTGATTATCTTCAATGGGACAAACAAAAGTTATTTAATTTTCATATTTATTACATTATTAGTGCTTAAGATAGTCAGGATTCACTGATTCATTTCATATTACAGCAATCTTCTTATGTTACCAGTATTAAACTATTTTATTTCTATGTCCTTTGATTCAGAATTCTAGTATTTTTTATAGGTATTAATTAAACCTATCTTCGGGATTGCTTTTCTGTACATTTGCTAAGGGATATGTCAAATATTCAGTGAATATGAAGGTTGATGAACTAGTGGTCAAATTTTGAGCAGACAAGTATTAGGTGGTTACAATATATATATATATATATATATATATATATATATATATATATATATACATATATATATATATTTGTCAGATCTGATGCGGAAGACGATTTGCAGAAAATGCTGAAGTACCGGATTTAAAACCGAATACTGCTAACAGAGGTTTGTCACTTGCGAGGGGCGTGAATCTCCAACCGTACAGAAACTTGTGAAAACGCCGAACAGCAAACACAAGGACAAGAGCTTCTTTTCCCGTCTGGCTGTACTTCATTTTTGCTGCGGTTAGTGTACGGGATGCATGCGCATCGGCTCTTTTGACGCGTCTGGAAACTGATGTGAAATAACAGCACTTGGGCCATATCCTATAGCGTCTGCAACTACGATGATGTACATGGATGTATCGTAGTGTGTTATTAACAATTCGTAGCTAATTATGGACCTGAGTTTACAAAAAGCCGCGTCGCACTCTTTAGTCTAGTTTTAAGTGCTGCTCTTCTGCAATAGATAGCTTGAATATTATGCATCGAAAAGAAGAATTCTGAGTAATCGCTGATTAATCCCATGAAAGAACGTAGTGCTGAGACATTACAGCGACTGGACATCAGTGTTCTCAGGATCGGGTGTTACTGCTGTCGGCGTCAACGAAGAACCCCAAATACTCTGCCGACTGCAATAAAATCCAGCATTTCTCTGAGCGTAACCATGACCAGTTGTCACTGATGCACTGTAGCACCAATGTCGTGAAATCCTGTGGTTGTTCCGATGTTGTTGCAACAATTAAAATATCATATAGATAAGCCGCGACACACGAGATACGTGATAGGATGCCATCCATTAGTTGCTGGAAGACAGATGGAGCGGTCATAACTCCGAAAGGCAGACGGTTATACTTGGACAAACCACAATAAGTATTGACATTAGGCAGCCGTCTTCAAGCATCATACGCTTTAACTTGCAAAAAAGCATCGGCTAGATCCAGTCTGGCAAAAACATTCATCCATTCAGTGTAGAAAACGGTGGGGAATAATGATGCTATACCAGCGCTGCGTTGAGACCTATAGAGAAGTCAGCCCATATACGCATCCAGCAGCTGGCCATCCTGGTAATAACTATAGATGCTGACCACGCTTAGTAAGAGACTGCTGTAATAACTCCTTAAATCTGAACGGAATTTAATTCTTGATCTTCTGTTGCTAATGTTGCAAGAGGCGCGGGTCTCTTTGGACAGAAAACAGGCTTAGACCCATAATTTAACTAATGCTGTACATTCATGGCAGAACACCAACCTATTTTATGTTGGAAAAGTGTAGGAAGCTGCGTGGTTAGATTTCTTCTATCGGCTCAAGGGTCACGTGGTCATGACACAATAACAGACTTATTATGACGAAGCTGTTATTTGAAAACTGTTCAGTACATGGTTCTCCCTCAGTCACAAAACATCTGTTCCCCTTGATACTAACATTAATTGTAGCAGTAAGAATAATCTTTGTACCGTCAAATTTGATCTGAGCAATATTCAAGCCTCTATTAACACCCTCAAACCCAATGGAATTTGTGGTGAGGATGAGATACTTTCCAGACGTTTGAAAATAGCAGGACCAATTCTTCCAGCTCTTTTCCCCAAAATATTTACATTCTCCTTAGAGTCTGGTATATACGTCAAATCGTGAAAGTTGACTCATAAATCTGGACTGAAAGACTTAATCCATAACTACAGACCGATTTATATCACCCCAGATATATCGCGTGCAATGTATAAACTGACAAAAGATCAACTATCTAATTACTTACTCAGGGAAGGTCACACTGACACATCACAACATGGCCTCATTTGAACTTCGTTATGAATCACATATCTCATAGAGTTCTTTAATGAAGTTTCCAGCATACTTGATCGAAAGCAACCAGTGATCGTGTTTTATTCTGATATAAAAAGTGCTTTCACAATCTCGTAATCGACACTATTTTTTTCCTTCCGCATTATTAGCCACCTGCTGCAGTGTGTTAGGTCGTGTAAAATGCAACGGCTTGATAAACATAATGTTATCAGCATCTATGCTATAGTATTCTTGGGGTGATATTGATTAGACCTAAATGAACCAAACGTATTTGCTCTAATTATGTCTGGTAAACACATTACAGAATTATGATTTTCAGTCATGTGGCTAATAAATTGCACTAATGAATTATGTAGCCTCCTAATCTGGTCAAATGCAGTGAACAGTGATTTTAAAAAGTTTAAGTCTAGAAAATACATTGAACATAGTGAATCTCTCTTTTGACCAAATAAATTTTCTTTGGATTTCAGTGAGATGTTGTCATCACATAAAAGACTTTGTTCACAAAACAATTCAGCCCTTTTATATAGCAGTATCTGTTTGCACATCTAAACATAATGTGCGTTGTAGACATATTTGGATTCGACAAGATTGTCTAGTGCACCGTTAGCATGAAAGTTGTTGCGATGGTTCATGGTACAAATTTTAAAGTGAAACGATTACAGAATTCATACAAATTTCCCAATATAATCAGATTGATATAGTAGACAATGTGATCTGTAACGCACAGAGATTTATTACTGAACAGTTTGAAATGATGTTATTCATAATTAGCTTTGAATCCAGGATTGTAACAATGTGAGATGTAGATGAGAACTATGATTTTGAGGTCGGTGAACTGGGAATGTTTTTGTGAAACTAACAAGATATTTTGACCAGTGTTGTTGGTAAGTTGTCATAACTGTCTATGAACGAAGTAAAACGATGAGAATAGAAAACTATATAAGAGCAAACGAAACTGCTGTTATGGTGGTCAGTGTCGTTATTAGGGTATTGGGCGTAGATAAGTGAGACGTGAATTGAGTAATGATAGTTACGATTTCCGGAATCGCCTTTCGGGAATATTCTCCCTGTTTGCAGTTTAATAAGTCCAGTGGTTTTTTTCCAAATTCGCATTTCTCAACATAATAATAATAGTGATAATAATAACAATATTTATTCTCAAATAACTACGTTTCATGAGTCTTGCCAGTTTGCATGCTAGATCAAATTGTCACAAATGCTCTACATATATTGTAAAAGTTATCGCAGTTAAATTAAGTATAAGAGTCAGTTCCTGACAGCACATTTACACGATTTCACTGACAGAAACAGTATGATACAGCCACATTTTCAATAGCAGTGTACAAATAAGGAAGGTGCAAAATAGGTTCTTTTGTCGATCAACATTGGATTTGTTGGGAAAGGTCAGTTGGAGCGTGCTTGATACGAGATGTGATTCAGGCAGTGATGTTCATTGATAACATATTCCCTAGGATTTCCCAACGTGAATATATATATATATATATATATATATATATATATATATATATATATATACATATGTATATAACCAAAGCACTAATTAACCTGTTATTATGAAGTAGTCAGTACAGTAGTAAGTGAAGACGAAATTCATACTGACCACTAAAATTAAAGTAAATTATGGCAATATAAGAATATAACACAGATGAATGAGTACAGCAAAGAAGAAGGAAGAGTTTTCGAGTGTCAAGTGGATAAAAGACAAGTTGAAGTAAGAAGCTGTATTTATGTAAGTTGAAAGCTAAATTTCAGTTAAAAGAGTAGATTTTGTAGAAATGAAACATTGATGAATAAAAGTTCCCACCGTCTAACTGTTTATTATTATTATTATTATTATTATTATTGAATGCCAACCTCTAAGTCATACTGTAAGCGCCTGAGTAAGCATGTTATATCGTTCTGTGCGACGGGGTGAATCTTCGTAAAGATCATCACACCTTCCAAGTTGTTACTAATGCTGGGGATATATTGCAATGTATATACACCTGACAGAGTTTCTCCAGACATTGCTGCTCTATTATTACCACATGATCTCTACTATCCATTCATTATTGTACCACGTGTAATGGAGATGCTCACAGACTACTAGATGTCCGTATTAAACTAAGTTTTTTCATGTTGTCGAGTTTTCGGTTCATAATGGTTAAAACTTATGGATAAGCGTCGTAGTGTTTCTTTACACGGTGCGCCTCTCTTTACAACCTGATGTTGCACTGTATGTCTGAGATCGTCACTTTTATATTTTACAACTTCGTCAAGTCGTCGTATTCGTTTAGATGCGATTTCTCGGGATCGTTTTTTTTCTCTAGACAACATAATGCTTCAGCATTCATAGTTAGTGAATCTGAATCATTTCGAGTGATCTATAGTATACCTCCATTATTCACAACTGAGTTAAATACCATCTCCTACATATAGCAGAAGCCATAGGAATTCATACATTCAACCGATATTTATGTGTTCAGAAAAAATT